GAGGAGGGATGGGCCTGGGCCGCTGGAGGCCCCAGGCCCATTGTCTTCAACAGCCTTGTCCATGTCCATCTCTTTCACCCTTTCTGAGGAAACTATCAGAGGATGTGCTCCACCAAAATAAGGACTGTAAACTGAGGGGGAAAAAGAAGACAAGGGCTAGAGGGGACCTTCACGGGGGAGGATAAGCGAGCTCTCGGGGCGGATGGCTTTGCCCCAGACCAGGGGTTGGCAAACTTTTGAGATGGAAGAGCCAATCCTGTCCCTCACAATTTAAAAATTATTCGAGAGCCATAAAACAAATGAAATCACCATTATGTGAATAATATCCTTTAAAAATTATGTAAATGAAACTATGGTAGTTTTATTTTCATTTTCAATTTTACTTCAGAGCCACATGGACATACCCAGAGAGCCGCGTGTGGCTCGCAAGCCGCAGTTTGCCGACCCCTGGCCCAGACCAAGAGGGCAGCCAGTCCAGACTCCAGCAGTGACTCAGAAAACACTCATCAAGGGTTATAGTCTCATGGCAACCACCGCCCTCCTCCAGCCTTTTGATCGTGAAGACAGAATGTCCAGGGTGTACCTGACCCACTTCTTATCTGTACTTGACTGGTTCTGTCCATTTACTGAAGAGGTGAACACCTCATTTCTCAGAGCACCTGGGGGCACTGATTTCACCTCAGACCTGTCTGCCTCAACCCCCAGCAGCCAGGGCCACTCTGGAGGCAGAAAAGCCAGCCAGAGCAGCCCACCCCCTTTTGACCGTCTCTGCTGGTCATTTACACTGCGTCCTGCCAAAGCCCTCAGAGGGGCCCCAGAGACCCCTCAGGGACGCTGAGGCCAGGCCCTGCCCAGGCTGCCTTTGGAGGGACGTCCCCCAATGGGGGCATTGTCACCCTCGCCTTGCAAAGCGAGGTCTGGACTTGCTTCTCAGCTTTTCAGAATGAGACAGTGGGGTTTTTTTTAGAGATCCACATATAGGTGAAACAATTAAAAAGACATGCAAGGGAGTACTTAAACCGAAAGGAGAGCAGCTACCTCCGATGAGCGAGAGGACGTGATGGAGAGGGTTTCCCTGGGGTCCTCTGTGGTGCTGGTTCTGCTGCTTTCTTGTGAAACCACTTTATTGAGGGATGGTTGGCATCCAGAAAGCTGTACATACTTCATGGACGCAACCTGATGAGTTTGGAGATAAATTTCCTCCTCCCCTCTTAGTG